TGAATATTATCCAATCACTGACAGCATTGTACTTCAGGATAGATCTTGAAATGTTCTTTTTGATGATGAATGTGACACTAGTCCTCTTCAAGTTGTCATTCCCGGCATAGTAGATCTGTGATTTTCTGACTCAAAATGGCCAATACCAGTCCATTTCAGCTCACTAATACCTAGGATATTGATCTTTATGCGCTCCATTTCATTTTGATGACTTCCAATTTTCCTAGATTGATACTTCGTACGTTCCACATTCCGATTATTAAGGGATGTTTGCAGCTGTTTCTTCTCATTTTGAGTCATGCCACATCAGCAAATGAAGGTCATAAAAGCTTGACTCCATCCATGTCATTAACGGTGACTCTACTTTGAGGAGGCAGCTCTTTCCCAGTGGTATTTTGAGTGCCTTCTGACCTGAAGGGCTCATCTTCTGGCACTATATCAGACAATGTTCTGCTGCTATTCATAAGGTTTTCACTGCCCAATTTTTTCAGAAGTAAACTGCCAGGTCCTTCTTCCTAGTCTGTCTTAGTCTGGAAGCTCCACTGAAACCTGTCCACCAAGGGTGACCCTGCTGGTATTTGAAATACTGGTGGCAAAGCTTCCAATATCACAGCAACACACAAGCCACCACAGCATGACAAACTGACAGATGCATGGTGGCCCCAATTTATAGATGAGAAAATAAAGCTCGGAGAGGTTGTGTAACTTACTCAAAGTAACACAGCTCATAACTGGTAGAGCTAACACTCACATTCAGGCATTCTGACTTTCAAGCCAATACCCTTAACCTCTAGACTACACAGCCCCAACAGAAGTATAAAGATAAATTAGTCAACATCTATGAAAATATTTGGAGCTCTGTAGAGCAGAGGACCTGCACACTTAAGTATTATCATGGCTATCATAAACCTCTTGCCATCGAGTTGATTCCAACTCATGGCCACCCTACCAGACAGAGTAGAGCTGCCCCATAGGGTTTTCAAGGCTGTAATCTTTATGGAAGTAGACTGTCACATCTTTCTCCCTCGGAGCTGCTGGTAGGTTCAAACTGCCGACCTTACAGTTAGCAGCCAAGTGCTTAACCACTACACCACCAGGGCTCCTTATGGCTCTTATAGTCCTTGACAATAGGCTCATTGAATCATTCCATACATATTTATTGTCTGTGTCTGAGTTCTAAGGCCTTTGAGGAGTTTACGGTATAGCCTAGTGGTTTTCAGATTTGACTGGGCCTCAGAATCACCAGGGGGTGCTGGTGAAATCACAGCTTGCTAGGCTATCCCCAGAATTGCTGAATCAGCAGGTCTGGGTGGTGCTTGGGAACACGCATTTCTAAATAGGGTCCAGCAGACACTGATGCTGCTGGTCCGGGACCCCACTTTGAGAACAACTGGGCAGGAAGTTGTGGGGATCAATTCCTCTCTATGAGCAGTGAGGCAAAGTGGAATCTGACTGCTTTCCCTTCGCTGGGCTTTCCGAGGCAGGACAACGGTGGAAGGTGGCCTCCCTGGGCCCGCCCAGGTGGACGGGGAGGAGAGAGTTGTGGGCCAGGTTTTCTTTAGCACCAACAGGCTGGCTCACTTCCTGTTGTCTCCTCTAGCTGCCTTTCCCTCCAGGTTCAATGCCCTTACTCTGTCCAAGTTTGAATCTGGTGACATCCACAGAGAGGTAACTCACGGCCAGTGCGGAGGTGCTAGAATTCCCAGGAATGCCTTTTCAAGTGGTTTGCATTTAATTTTCAGATGAGTAAGAGAGAACAGATGTCTTAGGATTTTCTGGAGAAACAGAACCAGTGACATACACGTATCTATAGAGAGAGATTTACTTTATAAGAATGGCTCATGCCATTGTGGGGGCTGGCAAGCCCACAGTCTGAAGGTCAGATGGCAGGCTGGAGGCTTCTGCAGGCTCGTGTCCCAAGATCCATAGGTCAGGAGATGGAAAGAGTGCAAGGGAGAGAGAGAGCAGCTTCTGCCAGAATGTCTATTTATAGTCTAGTCTGGGGGCAGATCACACCCTAAGGAAACCCTTCTTTCTTTTTTTAAATGATACTTTACTGTGCTTTCGGTGAAGGTTTACACAGCAGTTTAGGGTCCCAGTCAACAATTTCTACACAAGTTGTTCAGTGACATTGGTTACCTTCTTCACAATATGTGAACATTCTCATCATTTCCGTTCTGGTTGTTGCATTTCCATTAATCTAGTTTCCTCGCCCCTTACATTGTCATCTTTGTTTTAAAGTAATTGTTGACCGTTTGGTCTCAGATGGGTGATTTTTTAAAGGAGTACAGTATTTACTGTTGATATTCATTATTTTTTTGAACCAATTTATTATTTAGCTACAAGGTGACCTCAGGGGTTAGTTTCAGTTCAAGGTTTGACGAGTATTTCAGGGCAGTAGTCTCAGGGAGTCCTCTAGTCTCAACCAGTCCAGTAGGTCTGTTTTGTTTTTGTTTTTAGGACTTTGAGGTTCTGTTCTACATTTTTCTCCCATTCTATCAGGGTCCATCTATTGTGTTTAGAAGCAACTCCCCTTTCGATTGATTGATTGGTTATATTATAGAAGGTGATTAGGTTACATTATATTAGATTACATTGTGGAACAGAAACTCCTCTATTTGGCCAAACCACTGGGAACCATAGCCCAGCCAAGTTGACACCTAAAATTAACCACTACAGTTGATGTCCTGCCTTCACATGAGCTGAGAACCACCAGGCTGGAGTCTTGCTCTTCCTCCCTCCCCGCAAGAATCAGAGAATGGTCAGCAAGGGAGGCCACCGCTAGGGGAGGTAAATAAGAAATAAATAGAAATGGAAGACTGGCTGGGAGCCCCTGCGGATTAACTAGCTAATTAATCCCCACAACAGTTTGATGAGGAACTAATTAATCCGCTAAGCACTTGGAGGGTCTGAGGCCCTGGCCAAGTGTAGGGAAAGCTTCGCTTATCTCCCACGGCTGATGCGGAGACAGGCTGCTCTCGAAGTCTTCAGGGAGCACCTGTGTGAGGACCAGCCTCCTGAAGACATTGTCTCCTGTGCTCAGAAATCTGCCCCTCAAGCTACTTCCGGAGTCAGCCTCAGCTGTCACTCTCAGGGACCCAAATAAAAGAAGAGAGCTCTGAGGAAAGGCTGTCGGCCCCCAGCCTCTCCAAGGGTCAGCTAGGGCAGTAGGGAGCCATGGAATGTTAGCACTGGGAAGGACCTTGGAGGTCTGGCCCCATCAACCCACTTTACGGATGGAGAATCACGTTTACAAATCACTGTGGCATGTCACGTGCACCTAGAGACAACTGATGTCTATTTCTTAGCATTTCTACTCAGCACCAGACAAGGGGAATTCACATCTCCCTTTAGGTGTTGTCTTTAACTTCACCTAGGAAATCAGCAGGTGCCGAAATCTTTGTAAAATCAAATCAGCTTGGTCTGATAAAGACTTAGATGATCGTTTTATCTTTATGTGATTTTTCTTCAGCTTTGGTAAGAAATTCAAGGCTGGTCATGAATAATGCATTAAGGTGGGTCCTAACATCTGCTTGGAGTCCCTGGGGGGTGCAACCAGTTAACGTGCTTGGCTGCTAACTGAAAGGTTGGAGGTTCAAGTCCACCCAGAGGCACCTCAGAAGAAAAGCCTTGCGATCTACTTCCGAAAAATGAGCCCTTGAAAATCGTACGGAGCACAGGTCTACTCTGACACACATGGGGTCGCTATGAGTCACAGCTGACTCTACGGCTACTGGTTATTGGTTAACATCTGCTTAGTTCTTTTCTGTCATCAACTTTTCTGGTACAATTTTAATCTTCTGTGCCCCTGAGACCCAGTTTGCCTCATGTTAATTCCCACCAGCCATCTGGGAATTTCAGCTACCGTCTCTATTCCCAGAGAGCATTTTTCTTTAGATTATTCTCTCTCGTTAAGAAACAAAAAGGCTCTGTAGCCAGGTGGTAAGACATTCTATGACAGCCATGCCTAGGATCACAAAATGAAATGTGTGAGGCAAGCTTTGGTGATAGCATCACTAGCAATGAAGACTAGACTGTCAGCACGCTGAGTAATAAACAGTTATTACATTAATAAAGCATTCATCATGTGCCAGGCTCTGTTGCAAGTCGTAAGGAGGTAAAGTGCATTCAGCATGATTGGAACCCATGAGGGCTCCATGTCTGGTAGACAGGAGGGGCGGGCAGTGGTGAAGCAGAGGTTGCCACTCAAGTGTGACGAGGGCAATGACGGAGCTCTGGCCACGGCGGACACTACCAGCCCAGACCCCATCCTCTCTGCATGGGGTCAGTCAGGGCCACTGGGTCACATCATGAGGATGACAGACTCTAAAACTTGCAATGCTACTGAAGTGGAGCCAAGTGTGATTCTCAAGCTTAAGTGGGCATCAGTGTCACAGAGAGGGCTGGACCTCACCCCCAGTGTCTTTGACTCAGTAGGTCTGGGATGGAGCCTGAGAATTTGTATTGCCAACAGGTTCCTGAATGATGCTAATGCTTTGAGACCACACTTTGGGACTACACTTTGAGAACCACCGTGCTAGAAGATTCTGACTGGGCCAAGGTGCAGTGAAGGAGGGGCCTCCCAACCAGGAACTACTCCAGCCTCCACAAGAGCTACCAAGACCCAGCTCTGCTGCTAGATGGCCAAGAGTGGCATTCACTTCCCTCATTCCAAAACCAAAAAAACAAAAAAATTAAATCATTGCCATTGAGTCAACTCTAACCCATGGTGACCCCCTATGTGTCAGAGTAGAACTATGTTACATAGGGTTTTCAATAGCTGAGTTTTTGGAAGTAGATCTCCAGGCCTTTCTTCCGAAGTGCCTCTGGGTGGACTGAACCTCCAACCTATCACTTAGTAGTTGAGCACGTTAACTGTTTGCACCACCCAGGGACTCCTCCTTCATACTAGACAGACCTTTATTTTCCTGCTGCTTTTTAAACTTATATCGGTCATTTTTAGAGTTCTTTTTCTATCTCTGTATTTATTTTTCACACAGAGTGAAATGGATGAGAACCAAATCCAGATGGCTGGTGATAATGTGGATTTGCCCGAAGATCTCCAGAAAATGGTAGATGAAGATCAAGAAGAGGAAGAAGATAAGGATTCTATTCTTGGGCAGTTGCAGAATCTCCAGAACATGGACTTGGACACCATCAAAGAAAAAGCCCAGGCCACCTTCACAGAAATTAAGCAGACGGCAGAGCAGAAGTGTTCTGTGATGTGAGGGGGGTGCAGGCAGGAGCAGGTCAGTGGGGCGGTGCAGGGAACACTCTCTGTGGAGCACTGAAAACAACATGTATTTTAACATAGAGAGCACAGTTAGAAAGCCATGCCTATAAAGCTCTCTACAAACGCATAGACAAGAACATGGCTGTTCTAAGTGTTCCTGGTAGAGCACTGAGCTATCACCTTGCCACAGGAAGCATACTTTCCTTTTAGTTATAAGAGTGGCTGAAGTATGAAATTTAGTGAAGGATGCAGAAATCATACCTACTTACAGATTATTAGGAAAAAAACAAAAGCAAATGTACATTTCCTCTTCAACTTCCTTCCTTCGGGGCAGAGTCTCACTCTATCCAACCATTAGGATGGCGCCAGTTCCTTTAGAGAAAGATGGGGGTAGGGGGTTAGTGTGTCCACCGGGAGCCCAGGATGCAGGCTGGAAGGCAATCAAAGCTCACTACCCCACCTCTTATTCCCTGGCTCCTTGATGCTATTGGTGCTACTTATCAGGTCTGGCACGTGGACATGGATGCTCCTCAGCCAAGGTGCAGTCGCAGGGAGGCAGTGAAAGATAAGAAATGGAGGCAGAGGTTTCACCAGACCTGTGCATCATAGATCATCATTCTAGGACCATGTGAAGAATGGACTTGGGGGAAGGCGGAATTAGAGGCAGGGGGGAGCTGGGAAGGTTATTGCTATTTCTGAGTCTACGGTTATCTCCTCTTATCTGAACTTGGTGACAGCAATGGGAACAATGGGGGTGGGGTAACAGAGTGAAATCAATCAATCCCTCTCTTTCTCTCTTATCCTTTTCTCTTTTTTGCCCTTCTCCCAACCTTTTTCCTTTTTCTTCTCCTGCCCCTCCTCTGGAGGGGAGACTAGAGAAACTAGTCTGAAATCTCTTCAAATTACCTTCCAGTAAATCTTCCTGTCACTCTGTGCCACAGGTGGCACAAACAGTTTGCACTTAGCTACTAACTGAAAGGTTGTCCATTTGAACTCACCCAGCGGTGCCACAGAAGAAAGTCCTGGAAATCTGCTTCCTTAAGACACAGCCATTGAAAACCCTGTGGAGCGCAGTTCTACCCTGAAGTGTGTGGAGTGCCATAAGTTAGAACTGACTCAGTGGCAACGTGTTTAGGTTATTTTATGTTCATGTTTTTGCTTTTCTTTCTTTTTTTTTTTTTTTTTTGCTCTCTTTCAAAGGGATATTTTTCAAAAGACTTAGGATATTCCCTTTAAAATATTTAGAGCTGTTTAACCAAAAGCTACCAAAACAAAACAAAACTGGTTTTTCAGATGAATCTGTTCATAGAATAAATAATGCACAAAGACAACTTTTTGAATAAATGTTTTATGTAATATAATGGGGGGAGGGGAAGATGGAGGAACTCCACTTGTTAGCTCAAGTGAAAAAGGTATGATGGGAAGAAAGACTGAAACAAATGGATGAAATGAAGTTTGGGGATCTCTGTGCACCTAAAGCAGCCCTTGTGGCCCAGTGGTTAAGAGTTTGGCTGCTAACCAAAAGGTCGGCAGTTTGAATCCACCAGCTGCTCTTTGGAAACCCTGTGGGGTAGTTCTACTCTGTCCTGTAGGGTCACTATGAGTCAGAATCGACTCGACAGCAATGAGTTTGGTTTTGGTTCACCTTAAGCTCACATTCTCTCCTCTCCTCAACAGTCCAGATAATGGCAATTTGTTCCATGTACTTGTGTTCCCTGGGTGGTGTGAATGGACTTTTCACTTAGGAGATCAAAGCTCTGAACACTATATAAATATCACTCCCACTGAAAAAAAAGCAAACTGCTCTAAAAACTTCATGTTTCTTAATGCAATTAAGAATATAAAAAAATGAAAAAGAAGAAAATAAAAATAAATAAATAAAACCACAGAAACTGTATAGGGAGAATTTGTGTCTTGTTATCCTCAGAGGCATTTAAAAGACCAGTGTTCCCATGGGTTTGAGTCAAGAACAGGGTTTTACGGGCTTTCAGATCTAGCACAATGCTAAACCAAGAATGCTCCACTGGTTATTAACACGGGGCTACTGGAATCTTTCTCTCTTCCTCCTTTGCTTCCTCCTCATCCTCTCCAATTCCACTGCTAGTCCATGTTTTCATCAGACTTGCTATCACCAGATGTTACCCACTGCTGTGAAGTCAATTCTGACTCATAGTGACCCTTTAGGACACAGTAGAACTGCTCCATAGGGTTTCCAAGGCTGTAAATCTTTACCAAAGCAGACTGCCACGTCTTTCTCCCACAGAGCGTATGATGGGTTCAAACCACCAACCTTAGGGTTATCAACCGAGCACTTAATCACTACACCACAAGGGCTTCTTTTACCAGATGTTATGTCCAAATAAATCTCCCTGGAGATGTTATAAACCATATTCCCACACAATCACAGTATAAATCCCTATAAGACTCCAACAAAAAATTCCTTCACCAAGACCATGCTGCGCCTCTTTCAAGTAATCATGCATTTGAAAAAACAAAAAATTTGTGCTGACTTGGAGCGTTTGCTGCTGTGAAACTCAGGCTCTCTATAGGTTTGTGTCTGCGTTAGAAATCAGCTCTGAGAGCTACCAGAAATGATGCTTGGAGAATGTAAAATAACATTTGGAATCACACCAATTAAATTCAGATTCAGAAAGCTTGGATATTTTTTGCCTTTTAAAAAAACTTTATTATGAAAATTTCAAATCTAACCAAACCTAGAGAGACTAGCATAAGAAATTCACATGTACCCAAGTTGAGCTTCTTTACCCAACTCTGAAATGCTGCTGTCCTTGGAAAACTATATATTGCCATGACTCCATCTATAAATTCAAGACCTTATCATTCTTAGACAGTGTCTATTTCCTAGAGCTATAGAAAGGCAGCCTAAGCATACAAAAAATGTTTGCTTGTTTTCTTAAGTCATTTCAGAAACCCTTGAAGATTTCCAAGTCTCTAAAGATCATTAATTTAACTTACAATATGCACACCCTGAAGTAAATGCATGTAAAGCTTCTGACATTTGAATGCAGACACTTTGGGGAGCATCTTGAAAATCTCATTGAAAGCATCTGGTGGTTAAAAGGGGCTAATTAGATTCGTCAGGATATATAGGGCCAAGATTTTTAGGGCTTAAGGGGTCAAAGGAGAAAGTACAATAAAAATCAACAAACAAATGTCTATAAGGTTGCAGCAAACTCAAGTGACCTAAAGCTCTGCAATGGAGTTGCAGGAGCCACTTTGGAAAAAGAATGCCTTTCCCTAAGACCGTGCACCCCACTAGGAGAGAAGGCTGGGGTGGAGTGGGCTCCAGGCATGAAGGCAGTGGGGTAAGCGTGGGAGAACCTGTCTCCTTATTTAGCGACCGGCTCACATCAAAGGCGGTGGAGGAAACCCCTGCCAGCTCTTATGTTAACAAGTGATCTGCAGTGCCTTTTGAAAGTGATCAAATGATTTTTCTGGACTATTTAGGAAGGAGAGCAAAGCACTTTGACATTTTCCAAACATATGGAAATAATATTTTAGAAAAACTACAAATGACCGATTATAAGAATGTGAAAAAAATGTATACTCATGAAGGTCCCTATTCTCATGCAGCTTCAATGAGGGGAGACAGGTAATAAATAAGTAAACAACTAACACATAAGATAATTTTGGAGAGGGGCAGGTGCTATGAAGAAAAATCAAATGACAAGAAGGATCATGCGAACATTTAGGGGAGGGCATTTCAGACACAGAGAATAGTAAGTGCAAAGATCCTGAGGCAGGAAGGAGCTCGGAGGATCTAAAGAAGAGAATAAAGACCAAGATGGGCGCAACTCATTGAACAAGATTGGACGGGGACCTGCCTGGTAGTGGACATAAGGAAGAATGGGAAGACACGCGAAATATTTCAGAAGTAGTCTAATAGACTTATCGATGGATTGAAAGTGGAGGAGGTGTGGGAAGGAAAGAATTATAATACAATTGACTTCATGGGATGCTGGAAGAATGAAATGAGACAACACACGTAAAATTAACACATTGTGCCTGGCATATACTGAGTGCTCAGTAATGTTTGCAAGCTGACCATGATGCTGACAATGATGAAGGTGAGGAGGAGGAGCAGGAGGGTGTGGCTTGCCCGGCCCTGTAGGACGAAGGCAAAGCACTCATGAACCCTGTGACTTGCCTTTACGGTGGCAGGAGGTTGCCACCGAAGTTGTACTTCTTTAAAGATCATTAATTTGCACACAATTTACACAATGTACACACCCAGCAGTAAATGCACGTAAAGTTTCTGACATTTGAATGAAGACACTTTGGGAAGCAGATGGCAGGAGTTTGCCAAAACCTAAAAAATCAGGCAACCTCCACACTAAATTTGAGAATGAAGAACATTGTATTAATTTAACTGGGACTCTACCATGTATTCTCTTTTTTCATAAAAATTTAGTCAAGTGTGATGGACAAAGAGTGCTGGTAGACACCAATGACCGCCCTAACAAAGAACACAATAGAGAGTCCCTGACAGAGCAGGAGAAAAGTGTGGTGCAGAACTCAAATTCACGTAAAAAGACCAGACTTAATGGCCTGACTGAGACTGGAGGAACCCCAGAAGACATGGCCCCCAGACTCTCTGGTAACCCAGAACTAAAACCTTTCCTGAAGCCAACTCTTCAAAGATTAGACTGGACTATAAAACATAAAATAATACTCGTGAAGAGCGTGCTTCTTAGTTCAAGTAGATACACGAGATTAAATGGGCAGCTCCTATTCGGAGGTGGGATGAGAATGCAGAAAAGGACAGGAGCTGGTTGAATGGACACGGGAAACTCAAGGTGGAAAGGAGGAGTGTGCTGTCACATTATAGGGATAGCAACTAGGGTCACATAACAATAACGTGTATAAATTTTTGTATGAGAAATTAACTTGAGCTGTAAACTTTCACCTAAGGCACAATTAAAAAAAAAAAAAAAGAGTGCTGGTAGAGAGACCTATCACCATGTCAGACCTGTG